CCCCTATGATTCTATGATTCTATAATTATGTATCCATCTACATAGATGGATATCTTCTTTAAATAAGCAGTGAATTTCTAGAGTTTCTTTGAGGGAGGAGAGATGGTACTAAAGTTGTCTGAGAGTGTTGGGACTCGAATACAATTTGAGACAGATCAGACAGAAGCTTTATTTTATGGTCTAAGTGAGCAAACATTTGGGCAGCTTTTCCCTCTCTGCTCTCTTTTCTCTCAAGTGGTTGCAGTGATTCTCTTCCCATACAGTTGCAAAGAAGAGAAAGGGATTAGTAAAATCACTGTGCTGTTAACAAAGCTAGGTGTGCATTCGTGTGAAGAATAGACTTCTTGTAGTCATCTAGGTGTTACTAAGGGCAAGCACTGATGCCTGGGAGGGATGGACTCTTGAAGTAGCTTGTTAAATGCCACAGTTGACATCGAAAAGAGATGGCTCTTGGTGGAGCCTGGTTCAGAAGCAGACTGCCAGTTCTTGGAGGAAAGGAATTTTCCTTTTGTTAAGATAAACTAAGTGGTGTTAAATTATTAACTGTTTATCATATTTCTGACATTTTTTAAGAGACCTTCAGTACTATTAGCTATTTCTGTAGGTCCCTTGGTTACACTGGTTGTGGTGTGACTGCTGTCTGTTGTTGCATAACTTTTGTCTTATAGTTAGGATAATTTTAATCAAATACAGTTATATTAACGAGGACTGGACTTGAAAATTTGTGCATCTTTGTTGCTAACATTACTACAGCAATTAATTAAAACTCTTCATGACAAAGGGCTTCAAGCTTAATGTGATAAATTGAAAGGGGAAATAAGAAAGTTAAAAGAGTAAAAAAAAAATAAGTAAGAAAGACTGGGAAGCTGGTAGCAACAGACGGAGAAGGCCAAAGTATTCAACAACTGTTTTGCCTCAGTCTTCACTGGCAACCTCTCCTCACACCTACTGAATCAATGAACTGCAAGAGGGGAACAGAGGGACAAAGTCCCTCCCATTGTAAGAGAGGATCAGGTTCATGAATACATGTGGAGCCTGAACATATGTAAGTCTAAGTCTGTGGGGCCTGAGGATATGCGTTCCAGTGTCCTGAGGGCATTGACTGATGTAGTAGCCAAGCCAGTCTCTGATGTTTGAAAAGTCATGGTGATTAGATGAAGTCCTTGGTAACTGGAAGAAGGGAAACACTGAACCCCTTTTTAAAAGGGGGCATAAAGGCCCCTGGGAACTACAGACCTGTCAGCCTCCATGCCTGGGAATATCATGGAACAGGTCCTCCTAGACAGTGCTAAGGTACACACAAGACAGGGAGGTCATTTGAGACAGCCAGCATGGCTTCAACAAGTGTAAGTCCTGCATGACCAACCTAGTGGCCCTCTACGGTGGAGTGACTACATCAGTGAACAAGGGAAGAGCTATGGATGTCATCTGTCTGTACTTCTGTAAGGCCTTTGACTCAGTCCCCTACAACATCCTTCCCTCTGAATTGGAGAGATGTGAATTTGATGGGTGGACTGTTTGGTGGTTAATGGTTTTGTTGGATGATGACATCCAGAGAGTAGTAGTCAATGGCTCAACATACAGATGGAGATTGTTGACAAGTGGTGTTCCTCAGGGATCCATACTGGACCAGCGCTGTTTGATGTCTTCCTCAGTGATGTGGACAGCGTGATCAAGCGCTCAGCAGGTTTGCAAACGACACCAAGCTGAGTGGTGTGGTTGACATGCCAGATAGATGGGATGTCATCCAGAGGGACATAGATGAGCTTGAAAAGTGGGCCAACATGAGCCTCGTGAGGTTCAACAAGGCAAAGTGCAAGGTCCTACACCTGAATCCAGGCAATCCCTGGTATTGGTACAGGCTAGGGGATGAAGGAATTGAGAGAAGCCCTGCAGAGAAGGACTTTGAGGTTCTGGTGGATGGAAAGTTTGATGTGATCCAGCCATGTGTGCTCACAGTACAGAAGGGCAACCATATTGTGGACTGCATCTAAAGAAGTGTGACTAGCAGGTCGAGGGAGGTGATTCTGCTGCTCTACTCTGCTCTGGGGAGACCTCACTTGGAGGACTGTGCCCAGCTCTGGAGCCCTTAGCACAAGAAGGATGTGAACCTGTTGGAGCAGGTCCAGAGGAGGGCCACAAAGATGATCAGAGGGCTGGAACATCTCTCGTGTGAAGGAAGGCTGAGAGAGTTGGCTATGTTCAGACTGGAGAGGAGGCAGCTCTGGGGAAACGTTATTGTGGCCTTTCAGTACTTAAAAGGAACCTCTGATAAAGATGGGGACAGTCTTTTTAGCAGGGTCTGTTGCTTCAGGGCAAGGGGTAAATGGTTTTAAACTAAAAGGCGAGATTTAGACTAGATACAAGGAAGAAATTTTTCACACTGAAGGTGACAAGACACTGACCCAGGATGCCCTGGGCGATGGTAGATGCCCCATCCCTGGAAGCATTCAAGGTCAGGTTGAATGGGGCTCTGAGCAACCTGCTCTAGTTGCAGATGTCTCTGCTCATTGCACAAGGGTTGAACTAAAAGTCCTTTAAAGGTCCCTTCCAACCCAAAGCATTCTAGGATTCTGTGATTCTGTAAGTAGAGCTCCTGAATAACGATGATTGGCAGAGCGTGGCCTTGCCTGTTATTCTAGTGGGTTGTGGCTTTGGCATAAAGAATGTAGGGCCTGCATTCAAAAAAACACAGGAAAGAAAAGAAAAAGGGTTTCACAGTAAGTCACCATCTGGATAAGAAATACCAATACTTTTTTAGCTTGTATATCTGTTATTGAGGAAAAAGATAAGGAAAAAGCCAATTGTGTAGAACTGGAGAGCTGAAGGATGAGTCTTACATGACAGCCTCCTGGGTAGCTGATGTTATCTTGGCTCAATCTCAGATAAGGCAAGAAGAGGTTGTGCATGACATGATAGTTAAGGAGTTTGGAGCACACACCTACTCTAGCACTTAAGAAGATTTGGTTTTGTGGTTTGTTTTTTTTTTTTTTTTTATTTGCCGCAGTTTCTGGATACTAATTTAATAATAAATTCCTGGTGTGGAAGTGGATTTGCAGAACTGAGGCAGCAACACAGACTGGTTCCTGATAATGTTAGTTGTCCTATGAAGAAAACAACGGGAGTTTGAGTATCCCAAAACTGCCAGCAGAAGAAAAAAAAAAATGAAGACAGTTCAGTGGACTGCACTTTTCTACATTTGAGCCAGAATCAGTTGGGGAAAATGAAGGCATTAATTGTGTGGTTGGAGGATCAGTGTCTGCTTATGGGACCTTCTTGCAAATGCTTAGTTTTGGAAGCTTAAGAGAGCACGTTCTGTTGTGGGGCTTACGTTTGATCTCACTTAAAGTCATCAGAGTTGTCTTCTGAACTGAGAGTTCAGCATGCATGGTTACCACTACAGTTAGGTGCACAAGTCCAGGCTGTTGTTAGCATGATTTTTACCATTTTACATGCAACCCCAAAATTACTTAAATGGAGAATCAGTATGTTGTCTTGTAAAAGGATATTTCAGTAGTTCTGATTTTGTTCTGTATCATATGATTAATAGGCTTTCAAATTATAAAGAGGTGCCAAGAAAACTGCTTGAAATTATTTTGCAAAGTAGAGATGTTAAGCTGTATATTAGATGAAATACTAGTCACCTTCAAAAGGGATTTTGCCTATTTATTTAAACTTTTACTAATAGGTTTTATTTTGATGTATGGACAGTTTTGATCCCTTTAATGTGTAACTTAAGAGTTCAAATTTCAGGTGGCAGAGTTATTCCACAATCTGAAAAGGCAAGTCGGCGAATTTAACATGCGTGTTAATGCTCAGTCATCTGCTGTGGATCAGGAATATATATACAAACAACGCTTCATTTTGCAGGTAATGCTTTATTGACTCTTCAGAGGAGAGCTGTTATTTGGAAAATTTCAGCATCTGGTCTTCATAGACTAGTACTGAGGAACTAGTGTTACACCCATTTTTCAAAGTTCTCAAATTTTTCAAAACAGATTTGGAGATTGCAGGCCAAAAGAAGTACTTCTTTTTGACAGCTTAGAATTACAGTTCATGTTACATTTAGTGGTTCAGAATTCACACTGAGTTGGTCCTCTGGCTGTCCCTTCAGTTCTGACAGTTCATCAAAATAAAACCAAGTCAGAGATGAGTTAAACTGTGTTTCTAGACTAATCTTTGTTAAAGACATAAAAATAATCTTAAAGAACACTTGAAATCAAGGCTAACCATTACAGTTTTCATAGAGCAAGTCTGCATACAAAAATATTAAAATGCTGTAAAATTGGCCCCGGAGTTGAACTCTTTTCATGGAATTATGTTTTTAAGGATTTGCATGGGTTAACTTTTAGTCTGCAATTAGAGTAATTCCTATAAAGAAATGGGAAAAACTCTTCATACAAAGATCTTTTGGTATCTCTTTATGTTGCTAATTATATCTCTTTTCAAGAAACTGGATATAATCTCCATTTTAGAAAATATTTTCTTGATTTCAGGTTGTAATAGCTGGTGCTTTCTATCCAAACTACTTCACTTTTGGAAAATGTGATGAAGAAATTGCTGTGAAAGACCTTGCTGGCAAAGATCCAAAAACCACTGTCATGGTAGGTTAAGAAGGCCAATGACTTCTTTATTAAGAATCAAGTAATAAAAATTTATCATGTTTAGGCAATATTTTCAAGTTTTGTTCTGTCTTGGGCAAGGACAGAAATAATTACGTACTCTGGTCCTCACTGGGTAAGTTGTCTTTTCTTGCATTTTGCTTTCTTCCAATATAGTAAACATTATGGGGGTGGCCAATTTTAGAAGAATTCCTACTGAGAACTGCATTTGATTGCTACTTTTGCACAGACAAACAACTTTCATAAAACTAATAAAAAATTTGAAAAATAGAACAGCACTATCAAGGGCATTTTTTCATGAGTATTTATGAAATGTGTTGCTGCAACCTCATTACTTTCTTGTAATCTTCTACTTGATACTGCATGGCACACAAGCATGTTGCTTTAAGGTTACTCAGGTGTTGTGCTCTGCTTTCTGTTTATCTTCGACTGAATTATGTGTAGGTTTGAGTTGGCTGTGTTGATCTTGCAAAATGATACACAGTCTAAACTAGGACAATGTTTGGTGTATCTGAACTAGGCATAACACTGCAAATAACCGTGACCTATGCTTAAAGAAAATAAATCCACAAACCAGTGATGCTCAAAAGAATAGGTTTGTATTGCTACAAGAGAAAATAGATTTAAAGGTAGGAAAGAAGCTCATGAAAGCTTACCAACAAGGAATTTTTTCATGCTTTACTGCTTACCTAAGAAGAGATGCTAGTTCTGTACTGAAGGAGACACTGACATTTCAGAAACATACATAAATGTCTTTATGTGCACATATTGCAATTTTTAACATGTTTAAGGATATTGAAATAAAATATCAGACTAGACTCAATCTTGTGAAAGGAAGACAAGATTAGTCTTACCACAGCTCCTTTGATTAAGATGAAACTGTTCTATTTAAGGAGTTTTTTATTTTTAATGTAACTCTTAATCTGTTTATATATCAACTGCTTGTTGCCTTGAAGGAAGAAGCAGCTGCTGTGTCTTCATTGGTGTAAATTATCCTCCTGGGCACAAGTGCTTAAAGTTCATCAAGCCCTTAGTTTGAGAGACTCTTATAGCCAGATGATGCTCCTAATGGTGTATGCCCAGGATAGGAGATGTAATGATTCCTCCCACTCTCTGATCTTTCTCTATCATCTTGCCTTGAAGCAGTTTTCTGCGGTCTGACCTAGACTGTGATTTTGACCAGGAGCTCATCTTAGTACTGTAACTTCAAGGCATATGAAACTTTTCTAATAATCTGTTCTTTCCTAACAGCAAAAGAGAAGAACAGACAGTTGTATAGCCTCCGAAAAACAGTTCCAAGTCCAGAAGTTTGAACTTGGTAGTTAGTAGTTCTGTGATTCTGTGTTAAACCATCTCCTATGAAAGGTGATTGAGTCAGAGATAGGTAGAGAAATTAATATCTGGCTACAGTGGCATGTTAATAATTGTGAAATTACAGCCTTCATCTGATGTATGTAAGTGCTGCTAGAGTCTTGCTTTGCTTTTGATTGCACATTCTGTTTTCTTATGTTGGATCTTATCTGCCTTCTGAGTGAGCCAGATGTTAAAGTAGGAGAAAGCTATTCTGTTGCTTTGTAAAGTTAGTTTTCAAGGTAGTTTAGCTCACAGAATTTGTGAAACATGACATGACTCTTGTTGCCTTGCTTAAAGTCATCATCTGTCATAGTTAATTGTATACCATCTGTGTTATGCATTATACTTAACATGATACAATCCAATATATTTAACTAAAATATTATTCTGAACAGAATGTCTTTGAAAAGGTGTTGCAACTCATCTGTTTGTAGTGGTGTTAGGATTAAAATCCAAGAACAAGAACAAAATTGTTTAATAATTCAGTTTGGAAGAGACTTCATGTAGTCTGGTGATACAGTCTAAGTGGAATTAACAGTGAATTCAAACCATGTTGTTTAGGCCTTCATCCACTTGGCTTTGGAAAAAGCTCTGAAGATGGAGGAGATTCTGCAACTTCCCATGGGATCCTACCTACCAGTTCCCTGAATAAACCAAACTGTGCTGTCCTAGACTTCAAGATGTGTATTCTGTTGCTTGTCTTGCTCATTCTTCTCAGGATCTTGAGCCCCCCCCTTTCCTGGCTACTCTGGCCCAGGCTGCTCTTGATTATCACTTCCATAACAAGTTCTACATTGTTTGCTAATAGCAGATCCAAAAGAGCCCTAGTGTGGCTCAAGAACTGTGTTAAGGAGTTACTTTTGACATGCTTCAGAAACATAGGAGCTTGTGTCCTGCCCTTCTAGCAGGTTATCAGGGGGCTTATCATCTCCCTGTTAAAATGCAAGCTCAGTGGTCTGGAGACCATTACAAGTTGCCTGAACATTATCTGCTTCATCCTGACTGATGTTCTGTTAAAAATTCCCACCTCAGTGTTAACCTTACTGACCTCTTCCCTTGCCCTGATCCACAAGAGCTGAGTTGTCCCATTGTCTGTTCCATGGAAGAGCACCTTCCATTTGAGCTACTCTTCCACACAGGGAAAACCAGGAGGTTGCTGTTTTTCTCTCATCCCTAAGAAGTGTGTATCCACCCCTAACAGCTCTCCAGGTGTGCAGGCTGTCCCCTACACCTCAGGATATCAGTCTGTGGCAGTTCTGTCAGGACATGCAGGGCTTTAGCTCCTGTTTGCCAGGCTGTGTGCCGTGCCTTAGGGTGTAGCTCCCAGTCATGGACAACGAAACATAGCAACCCTTTGCTTTTCTGGTACAAGCAAAAAGAGGAGCACTAGATAGCTTCTAGGAAAAGTTATGGATTGAATATATATAATTACAAATGAAGCTGCTTCTCTAATAGTTAAAGAAAGCATTTATCTACTGGTTTGAGGCAGTAGAGCTGCATTACCAACAAAACTCTGTATTGTCCTGAGATTTTTTAATTTAGTATAATATATAGTGGTTTTGGAATTCATTGGGATGTAGGTTGTATATCAATATTGCAGCTCAAGTGAAGGAGGAAGCTGTTTAGGTGAACTTAATGCTTTAAAATAATTGAATGTATCCAAATTTAACTACTTTTTTCATTACAGCTGAAGAATATTCCTCCCTATGGATATCTGTACCATCAACAGTTAAAGTCACTGTTCAGACATTGTGGGAAAGTAAAATCTATTGCCTATGAAGGATCAAAGTAAGTATAACATACATCATGTATCCTGTCTTTCTCAGGTTCTCCATTACAAATCTAGTAATCAATTTCTGTTGTTGTCAATGGCCCACTCACAAAATGTGACTGGCTGTTTTAGCTCATAATATGGCTAACTTGGGTCCACGGCTGCCCAAAGTTAAGTTCCTGTAGCCCTTCCTTTGCCTTTTCCAACCTTTTCTTATTCACGTGTTTTTTTACATCCTTTCTGCTTGTATTAAATATGCTTGAGTAAATTTGGCATGTGCTTGTGAGAATGCCAGGAAGTTTTCTTTCATCATGATAATGAAAGTTTTAAGGTGCATAAGAGTAGCACCTTAAACTGTGAGGAACCTACTTTTTATTGTTTGCTGTATATATTGCAGGTTTTTTTGGTGGGTTTTTTTTGAACAGGGCTTTTGTGGAGTTCTCCCGTAACCCAGTGGAAGGCTTTAAGATTCTTCCTGCAGTGTACCTGTCAGTCAAGATGTCACAGCTGAAAATTCCTCTGAAGCTGAATGTTCATTATCCAGAGGATATTGAAAGGCAATTGCAAGATGTGACACCTGCAGATGTGAAATCTCTAAGGTAATTGTATGGCATATGGAAAATCAGTTTGTTTGCAGTGAAAGGTTTGCTGGATTCAGTGGGAATTTCTGTGGAAGTGTCATCAAGGAAGACAGGTTTGTTAGGTTTGAAAACCAGATGTGTGGACTTTGTTTAAGCAGAATACTTACCTTCCAGTTGTTTTTACTTCATTTTTAATAAAACATTTTAGCAGTTTCACTGGGCCCAAAAAGTCACTTAATCTTTGTGAAAATTAATTCTTGAGGGACTCAAGAAAGAAGTCTCCCGGGCGAAGAGGCTAATTTTAGAGTTTGTATCTTCTGTCAAGTAAAAGAAAAATTATATCTAAAATAAAGATGCACTTTGTGCTGTAGTGTATTCACTACACTTTCTTTTTAAAAAAATAAAAAAGCTTACAAGGCATGCCATAGCAAAAATCTTCACTATTTAACCTCAATTCTTTGGATTTCTAGTAAGTTGATGGCAAAGTTGCATCTTGGTGTATGTATCTTCCTGTGTTTGGTCGTAATGGAATTCATATAGTTTCTCTGTAGTATTTTGGTTCTGCGTGGTCGTTTTACATTTTGATTTAATTAATCGATTTCTAAATAAGTCATGAAGTAATAAACATGCCCTTAGGGACACCTTGGGAAGCAAATTAAAGGAAAAAAAAAAAAAACTTGTGAGATTTTCCTTGTAAGCATTAAGCATCTTCGTTCCATAAACTTTTCAGAGTAAATGTGAATTATCAGAAGCAGACAGTGGAGCCTGTGGAATTATTTGGTACTTTACAACAGTCAGACATAATCCCAGATCATCATCTGTCCATCAAGATAACAGAGGTAGGAATGTTCTACATCTGAAGTAGATAACTTCTAATAATCATTACCTAGGTAACTTTGCAGACATAAATATCTGACAAGCTTAAATGAAAAGAATAAGTACTAATAACATTTTTTAGCACAGAGTTATCCATAAAAGGTATGGAGAATATTCTTCACCGAATTTTTAGTCGTTCTTCTTTAAACAGTACTTGCATGTTGCAGATAAATTTCAAAAATGGAAAGGTATTTGCACTTGACAAAATTTGTAGGATTCAGTGGTAGTAAATGTTACCTGGAAGTAAGCATAAATGTAAAGAGGATTAATGGGAGAAGTAAAATATCTGTGTACACTATAGAGATCACAATTAGTAGGAATTTGAGCCATTTACCTGGTTAATAAGTGACAGTTCTTTCATGAGACTGTACATGTGAGAAATTAGATAAATTAATGGTACTGTTTGCTCATTTGGAAAAATATTGCATGCATAAATAATACTGTGTTCTATGTATATACTGTGTATATGTAAATTATATATAAAAATTTCTGAATTATGAAACGGAAAGTATTTTAAAATTTTGTGTTAAATATCATCTCAGCAAATTGAGCAATAGCAAGCAATAGATATATTGCTGAAGTAAAAATAAGAATAAAAAAGCCCAAACTACTGAGCTAGTGGAAATTGTAGGCTGAAGTATTAAAATAGCTTTTGATAGTAGTGGTATGTTTTGCAAATGCAAAAAGACTATTTTCTTAATTTATGCAGTAAGTCTGTTGGATCAAAGATGTTCTTGGATTTGATTAGACGCATTCCAGCCACTTCACTATTTAATACATTAGCTTTAATAATTGTGTGTATTGTAAGCAAAGATTCTTTTTTTATCAGGAGCATTTGATATAAGATCAGAAATAGTATACAAGTTCAATAAATCATTTGAAAAGATGACATTTTATTCAATTTGATTTAAATAGTGGTGTGTTCTTTTCAGTTTCTTAAAGGATGTCCAATCAATGGTAAAGATACCGATTTGCTGATAGATGTAGCTAACTGGTATTCTTTCATTAATTAGAAAAGTAGACCATATCTGTATGTACCTGTCCAATCTAAAGTGTATACCTTATATTTTCTGTATGTTAATTTGGTTTAGAAAAATGGAAATGGTCTTTTCTTAATTTTCTGTATTTTAGTAATGCTTATATCAGGGTTTATTTACATGAAAAGTATATTGCAGTTGCACAGCAAATAAACATTTTAAAATAACATCTAATTGAGGGAGAAATGCTTCACTGCATTATTGCAGTACGAGAGCATTTCTCTGTGCGTTAGGAGTGGGAGTGCTTTCCTGTATTTTCCTCAGATGTATTTTGTATTTGATGCAGAAGAATAAAATATAAAATCTGATATTGTCTAATTTCTCTACTGTCAGATAGTAGAAGTTGGACACTTCTGGGGTTACAGGTTGGATGAAAAGAATAGGACTGCACTCCAGGCTCTAACTGCTTCAATCAACCACCAGGACCTGAAGGATTTGGCAGTGTCTCCACATCCAGAGTTGGTTTGTCTGGCACCATTCCCTCATGTGGAAAGTGGAGGATACTATAGAGTTCGTGTTCTGTATGTTTGTGGAAATTTTGCTGAGGTACAGTACTATGTTATGTCATATTGAATTGTTAGGATGTAATTGGCTCAACAATCTTGGAGCTATGCTTTTTTATTTTTTACAAAGCACTATGTTCATGATAACTATAAATATTCCAGCCAAGAAATCTGTAGAATTAGAACTGTAATAAAACCTGAGTAGATGAACTAGGTTTTTTTCCCCTGAATACAGCAATATTTTAGTATTAAATTGAGAAGCTGTTGTTTGAGCTGTGTGATCTGTTTAAAGTCATGGAAAATTGGTGAATAATGGTGCTAATCTCATTACTTTTTCTTTTGCATTTCTAAACACTCACCGGATCCATGCTGGCGCGTACTTACCTAAAAGCAATTTTTAGGTAGTATCACTCAGAAGAATTAAGGTTATACAGATTTAATTGCAGGGAGAGAATTAGAACCTTTCAGAGAAATCTGTCTGCTGTAGATTTATCAGATTTTCTGCATTACCAGTGGATTTTTAAAGCAAGGGATCAAATAATAGACATGATAAAATTTTACTTTTTTTTTTTTACATGACTTCATTTGCATGTTTTCCAGACTCTGCATTTGCTTCCCTTTCACTCGATAATACTGTGTCATACTGTAATAATTATACTTGGATTGTCCCTTTCCTTGTCACTAAAAGTAGCATTGTTAATGCTGTGGAACATGTGCAGATGCTCTTGATTCTTTTCCCAGGTTTTTTTTGTGGATTACGGCAATAGATCAAAAGTGCCTTTAAAGAGTTTAAAAGAGATTCCAAGCTGTCTTCAAGAGCTTCCTTTTCAGGTAGGGATGATACAATTTGCTGCTGCTTAGTAGATACTTTCATGTCTGGTCTGCCAAACAGAAGTGTGCTTCAAAGCCTGATGCTTTTCAGAACGATAATGAAGTAACATGCATTTTGCTAATGGGAGTACCTACAAATCGCCTTTACTAATAGGTGGGTAAATGTTTTCCACAGTCGTGAGTGCACAGAGCAGAAGTTCTTAGTATAATTGAATTGCATTATATTGTAGAAGAATGTTATCCAGTGTTTCTGTGGGGACAGCCCAGTGTGGTCTGTCCCACCTGTAATCATAGTAACAGCAGAAGGAGATGGGAAGTTGCTGTAAGAGCTGCCTTTTGGTACTTTTTTCCTTTTGGTTGTCAGTTTCTGTGCTGTCCACCAGTTCTATGAGAAGTAGAGCTACTCCCTGGAGGGGAGGACGTTGTTCTGGTTCCTCTATTGCCTGCCTATATGCAAAGCTCAGGAGTAACAAGCTGAGCGGTTGATCACATTTGCTTTAGTCTAGAGAGCAAATGACAAATGTTTATACAGCCTATAAAACACCCTAGAGAGGACAAACTATCAATGACTAGCTTAATCTAGTCTTCTCTGTTTAAACCTGGCTGCTCCTACTGTAGGTAAGTGGCAGCATACTATCTCTTCTTGACTGCATGGCACAAGTCTGCAGGGGGAAGTATCTGGCACGCAGTTACTGTGCGGAGTATTTTTGCTCCCATCAAAGCTCCTGCTGTGCTGCACTATTTGTTACAGGACAAATATGTAGGAGATGCTTGATCTAAATTTCACAGAGCTGGAAGCCTCTATTTTGTGCTGCTTTGCTATTCTTTGAACTACTGGCTCTACTCAGATCTTTTCAGACAGAACTCTTAGTAATAAAGTAGTGATCTGTAACACAAATCTAAGGGACTTAATTTCTCATAAAAAATTTCTCTTGACCTATAATTAAAAAAATAACTAGACTTTGCAGTCCTCACTTCAGACATTTTAAAGTTAATTAAAACAGGAGCATCTTACTAACTTTATTCTCTGAAGCATTTAGTGATGAAAATGATAAATGAGCCAGCAGAAGTATGATTTTATTTCTCTTCTTAGCATTACATCTTGACAGTTAATTTTGTTTGATTTTTTTTTTTAATTGACTTTTAAAAATAAGTAGAATTAATTTTGTCAAGAAGCATCCTTTTTTGTGTGTTTTTTTTTAGCTATATAAAGAGAAATGTATTTCTGCTTCAGGCCTAATCTTTTAATGACTGGCTAGAAAAAAAAAAAGCAGAGTTCTATTCATTTAGAGTTCAGTAGTTTCTGTTGTAGATGCATTCAAGGGCATAATTATGGATAGTGATTGTGGAAAGGGGTTAAATGAGAGCTTGATTCCTCTTGCCTGCCGAGGTGGGGATAGCTGCAGTGGTCTTGCTGAATTTTCTGTTAACCTTAGTCGAAAAGAATTGTGGATCGTCAAATTTTTTCCAGAAAGGACATCTCTACACTCCTAAAATTGTAATGTGAATGGGGAATTAATACTGAATTACCTTTTATTTATGCTCTGTTTGCTCTGATTCATTAGCAACTAGGTACAATATTTGAAGTGATATGAGCTGTAATGTGTAGCTGTGTTGGCAGTGGCGGAATAGGAATTATGCCGGTAGCTTTACAGCAGTCCTAGGAATTAATGTAGGCCACTGCAATAATTAAGTCATTTATAGTTACTAATTCAAACCGTTTGTTGAAAAAATGAAAGATTTTCTTGCTGATTCTCTACCAGGCAAACGTTGTTTTTCATGTTCTTGCTTCAGGCTTTAGAATTCAAGATATGCAAGATGCGTCCGTCTGCAAAATCTCTTGTGTGTGGGGAATGGTGGAGTTACAGTGCTGGCCAGAGATTTGCCTCACTGGTAAATGGCAATGCTGTTCTAGTGAAGGTGTACTCACTTGTGCATGGTGTTCTGCACGTGGATGTTTTCCATTGCTCGAAGTGCCAAGAGCTTGTGAATGTTCGAGACGTGCTTATTGGCGAGGGCTACGCTGAGCTGGCAGAAGAACCATATGAATCACAAGTACGTCTTGAGTAAGCTGCTTCTGCTTTCCTTACACTAATTTATTTCAGCTCAAGCTGTCTGAAGCCCTGAGAAGCTGAGCTGAAGTCTTGATTAATGCCATGGGATTAGGCAAGATTAATACGTGAATGGGACAATGTATTTTTATGTGTGGCATAATTCATATTGAGCTGTTGGCCAAAAGCAGTGTTGCTTTGACACCTTTTAAGAGTTGTTTCCTGGGAAGAAAATTGCATCTATTGGACTGTTCCACTGTTTTTTGAAATTTTGAAAGAAATGCAACTCTTTCTTAGTTTTAACTCTCTTCCATTTTTATTTCTTACATAATCTGAAAGGTGATAAGAACAGGTCTTTGTATTGGTATGTGTGCATGCGTGTTCTTTGTACAGGACCTTTCTTGTAAAATTTTTGAAAAACATAGCTGTTTCATGGCTTTAAAACTCTTCCATTATTACATAGCAAAGCCATGATTTGCTCGACGGATTATTTTCGGACCACGTACCAAAAGAAAAGAAAATGCCCCTGTTTTCAAGAGAGAAAAAAAAGCATCTCATCAAAAGATTGATAAACTGGTGTTCCAACAGTAACTCTGATGTGCCAACCCATAAGGTAACGTGAGTGGTGGTTTTGGTATGTTATTACATAACCCTGCTTCTCACATTGTGAGAATGGAGGTGAAGATTGGAAGTACCTTTAATAATCGAACCATATTTGATAGTGCCTTCTACTTTTTGGTGGTAGAAAGCCATGTGGTGACCATTGCAGAGTAGTCTACTGCAGCTTTTAACAAAGTGTTGAAGTGTAGCCCAAGATGTAAGTGAACCAACTCTTCAAATACGTTCTTTGAACCACTGCAGAATGAAGATAAAATTGAAAAACTGAACACACTGTTCCCACACATAGTGTTTTTCATTATATAAGCTACAGCAAAAAGCAGGATTACCACCCAGTCAGTTTTTCAGAAGATTTAAGCATTGGTTTTACTACATACAGTGTTTCATTCTTCGTCAGCTAGTGATAAGGATCGGTGATGCAGTGGACACTCCAGTAACTGATGACAGTGAAACAGTGGCTGTTTCTTCCACTGCCAATTCCAAACTCAGATTTTTTTTTTTTTAGTTTTTTACATAGTTTAAGGTATCTAGTCATGACTAAGCTAAAATGTAAAACATGAAAATTTATGTCCTGTTCTGCATGCTGATTCCAAGTTAAGCCTCGTCTGCATTGTAATTCTCTTCTCATTTCAGACCTGTCAAAATTTCAGGTTTTCAAGCACCTAATCACACTCAGTTCACCCACAGGAGGAATCCTGTTTACTCACTTTCATAAAGTGCAGTATTTTCAAGATTAAAGACCTGCTCATGTAAACAAAAATGACCTGGTTTTGTTAGGTGCTCGGTTAAGTCTGAGCTTATGTTTAAGCCAGGGCAAAGTCACAAATCCCCAGCTGCTGTGAAAATACATTACTTTTGTTTAGGTGCCTCAACAAGCAAAGTTTGCTTTAGATGGGTGAAATGTAAATGCTATTTATCCATTTATCAATTCATTGTTGCTCAGTACATCCTGAAATGTGTTTTGGTTTTCATTTATGAAGGAATTTGATTTGGAGAAATCCAGATGCTGGCTAACTAGAATATAATTTGTTTTCTCTCCTTTTGAAGGTAACAGTTTCTGGCCCACTCACTCCTTATGAGGTGAAATGCTACAGTATGAATAGAGTATTACAGTTCAGGTACGAGAAGACTTGTACAGTGAGTTATAGGCACGTTTTCAGCTGTTATTTTCAATAAACAGGCAAAACCCATTCTAGTTACTCTTAAAGATTTTTACAGAATTTTTATCAATTGAAAAGACTGAAATAGCCAGGCTTGAATTGCATTAATATGCACACTATGGCTATGTAATTTTTTTTTTAAGTTTTATTAAAGATACTTGATCATTTTACAGACATTAACATTATTTATTAAACATGATATAGGTCTGCTAAATGGTATTCAGCTAATCTTCAGCCAGGTACTGCTATCCATTGAGGTTTTCATTGTCAGTTTAAAAAAATTGGGGTTTTACCTGTTTTTACATGGGGTTTGTTCTGTTAATGTTGAAAATTTTCCTATTTCCTCCCCAGAAGTGCTTTGTTACAAGAGGAGAGCGTAAACTCTGTCCTTGTACATGATGCTCCAGGAGATTCCTTTGAGCAGTTGTTGGTCGCCGCGTCTGTATCAGCAAATGCAACTGGTAATGCTGAACAAAAATGTTTGGGCAGTTTCTCTAGTTTTCTCCATTAATAGCTCTATGGGTAAATATGTCACTGTAGTTCTACATTACAGTTCTTTGCGATCTCTTTCATCAGATACTCTGTAGGGAATTTTTTTTTAATTTTTTTTTTTTGGTGACAGGATCTGCTGTGTTTTTAGAGGAAACATCTTTGCTGCCTCCTATTCCTGGCCTGCTTGCGCTCCTCAGCATGCTGTTTGCTCCTGCTATAGAGCTCAGGTATACATGTGTTTCAGAAAGTGGTAGTATTTTATTTGGGACCTTCACAGATTGATGAAAGTTTGGGATTGGCTGGTTTGATTGGTTTTTTTCCCCTTTTGTTCTGCTTCCAGCATTTAGTATATTTTCTTCCTGATCATGTAATTATTTTAATTTTTTATCAGTTTAGGTATAGTATGTAGCTAAGATAATTTATTTCATGTACTTAATGAGCTGGTTCTGCAGGCTCTGTCCTCACAATGAGGCAATGCAGTTCTTGACAATCATGCTGGAAGCCTAGGAAGAGTAACTGTAGAACTGTGCATGTTCTAAATCTATGCAAGGGGAACAACTTGCATGATTTTTGTAAAAGCTGAACTCTGACACTTGCATGACACATGCATTACTGTTGTGTTTTGCTTAAATCCTTATAAATGTAGACTGTAATTTCAGCATAGTGAAGCTAGCTTTCCTTAATTAGTTTCATTTTGCATATATATGATTTTGTTTTTAGGTTTTATGGTTGTGTTTTCATAACCGGAACTTTAGTTTTGTTTTGTCACTTTATTTAAATCATTATGACGAGCTGTGAATGCCTCTCAATTGGTTTAGCTTCTATAAAACACCTGTATCTTGCTTGGTGTGGTTTAGACAAACTCCTTTAAGCCTGCCTTCATATGAGTTCAATTTCTTCATCTCTAGGTGAGACTGTTTTCTTTCTGTTTCATACAGGGTTGATAAAAGTGGAAAGCGTTTTACTGGTGTTCTGTGTGGTTTGGGCTGGAGTCAGACTTTTGCAGCTCCTCTGCTTCCAGAAAATGACATGGAGCTGACATTTGATGTGCATTTTGGACTGGAAGACATATCAGAGGTAAAACCTACATGAGAATTTTCATATTGTAGGAATTAAATAGAATTGAATGCATCAGAGCTTGTAAGAAATAAGAAAATAATAATAAGAAGAAAACTTGTTTTAAGCTGTGGTTTTGCATGGTTTGTTTAGTGTATTAAGTTTATAATCTTATAAAATTTATAACCTTGGATTCTTAGCATATAAAATGTTACCCTCTCTATACACTTTGAACACAATAAAATATTCTTCAACAATACACTGTACACTTTTTCAAACCAAAAGGACGAATTTTGTACTAGTCAGATGTCAATACTTGTTCATTATGTTCTTAGGGTTATTGTGGGTTTTACTGATCAGCCTAGCTTTACTGCTTTGCAATCTTCAGTTTGGTTTTACAGCTCTGTTAAGTCTTCCGTGTCAACCTACTTCTCTTAGAGCAGATCAAGTAAACAGCCAATAGAACCCTCCTGTATTCCTCACTACAGCCTTTTTACAACTTGTAGACAGAGATCAGTCAGAGGGAAATATGTACATATACTGTGTTCTGCAGGCCAGCAAGCTCTTGTGCTTCAGAGCTTTGTCATGTGCTTCAGACAGTGAAGAACCTCACGTGCCCTGGTTAGTTCTATGTACAGGGCAGGTATATTAGATGATAACCAGTGATTTCTAGAGGCTGTTTAAGGACACACTGGATGTGCGGGCACATATATCTGTGAGCTGTTGTTTTCTAAAAGCACTGACTTGGCATGTGTGATGTCTGTAGTCATGCAACCTTAGCCAGAATGCTAGCACCAAGTTGTTGCACTTGTGAAAATTAGAGACAGGCAGAGAAAAATCCTTAAAACTTTTACAGAAGGAATTCAGTGTTGGAAAAAATCCAGGCGAGTAGGAGCCTGTATGTTTTATGGCGTGTCTGAGTAACCTTGAAGGTCATAGTATCAGGTGGCTGAACATTAATGTCTTTGACCAGCAGAGATGCATCTGGAAGAAGAAGTGTTTCTAAAGCTTCAGTTGGTTTTGCTTGTGTTAATAATATTCTAGCTGAAATTTGGTATGGGTGCTGTGACCCACCTTCATATCAGTATAATAAAATAGCCAAGTAGAGCTGGCTTAGAGTGCTTTACGTTTTGTCACTGATACATTTACAGATAAACATCCTAAGGACAGCCATTAATAAGCTGCTCTGGGAATGTGAACTGTGTTCTGGACAAGAGAGAATGACACAGCTGCAGGAAAACGTTCGTCAGAAACTTCTATGGTAATAATTTTGTAGGAATAAGATGTTCGGTTTCACAGTCAACAAAAACAAAATAAATGATTGCTTGAAGCATAGCTCAGATTGGGCTTGAGAAATAATATATGTTCTCACTTAATGATGCATTTAATTTACTTTGTGTATTTATAAAGCAGTGTACTTGACAACTTTAGACTTCTTGTGGAAACACTGGTTCTTCAGGGAAACCTGATCACTTAAGAGTCATAAAACCTAGACTGTAAAACCTGTTCTACAGGATACCCGTTCTAATGGATCTGCTTTGTGAACCCAAGGCAGAGCCAATGAAGTTGTGTGGCATGGGAGTGCAGAAGGATTTAGAATTCTTTGTCCCTATACATTAAATCCAAATCGTGTGTGCTGCCATTTCTCCCTCAACAGACCTGTGTAGTAGGATAGGTGTTGGCCAGGTTAATTCCTTGAAGTCCCAGGTTAATTTATGAACTGAAGTAAGACCACCTGCCTTTTTTTCTAGAAGGCCTCCGTGCTTCTTGCAACTGAAGCAGTGGTTCTGACAAGACTACAGTGAGTCAGTGCAGCCAATCTGCAGAATTTTTTCAGCTTGCAGCATGTGAGAAGTGTTAAGGGGAGCTAGTTCAATGAAATATTCCTGGAACAGCTCCTTCTAATGTCTGTCACTGCTGACCACACTCTGAAAACTGCCCTTGTTTGTAAATATAGTGTGCATTTTAGTGCTCTCTGACTTTTCTCATCTTACCTGGTTCTGTACTGAACAGATTTAAAAAAGAGCTCTGGCTCAGCCTTGACTCAAGTTCTGTTATGCTCTCTAGTATTGGCCTTGTCTCTAGGACATGTGACCTTTTTCACAAAGAGAGCTTTTCTAAAGTACCTGTTTGCCAAACTGAGGCAGTTCCTCTTGCTGATAAAGATCAGAAGCTTTTAAGCTTAGCTGCCCTTACCCACCCTAGGTTACCAAGATGATTATCAGGGCAGCCGTTTTTTGCTGAGTTTTCACATGTGAGTGAGTGGCTCTGTTGCTGCCTGGAGTTAAACCATGAAGTTTGTTTTTGAATGTACCTGCTTAGTCTATGTTTATTTTGATTCCTGTCTGTGAAAAAAAACATTGTTGCCTTTAGTTGAAAGCAAGCACACATACTTTTTTCCAAAATTTGAAAGAAAATTCAGTGTGTTGCATCTTGTAATTAATTAACAAGTACAGGGAGAGTCAGCTTCACCTTCTGAGGCATTGGAAAATAAATTCTAAAAGCATAAACAATTGCCAGAGGATGTGGAGATACCTATTATGTCTTAGCTGACCAGCAGACACGTTGGATATGGCAAGAGAGCAAGGTGATTATTTTTGATTTGGGTGCCACACTGCACATGGTGTCAGTGGGTCAGCTGCTTTTCCTTCCATGGCAGCTTCCAGCCAGCTGCTGCAGTGGGTTCTGTGTGCCTCCAGAAGTGGTAGTACAGCTTCACAAAGGCTGTACCCCAAAGATGCACACTGCTTGTGCTTTCAACTTAAGAAGCACCAGCACAGGCATGTTTCATGGCTGCAAAACTCTTGGTAAAATACCAGCTGCAGAACGTACTGCTGATGCAATATTTAATTTCCTGTCTGTGTCCAAGTACCTCGGGCCAGTTGATGTCTGCATTGCCTTTGGACACGACTGTGCAGTACCATGTTTAGACTTCAAAGCTGAATGAAGGCTGCTTGCATGATTCATGTGGTAACAAGTGTCAGGAGAAGTCAAGGAAAGTGGATTGGCAGGAAAAAGCAAAACCACAAAACCTCTCTGTAGGTGACTGTGGCAGTAACAGGAGCTGACGCTTGGACATCAGCAGTTACATGCTAAATTCAAAGCACAGAAATGTCAGTGCTGTTCCTTTATACCTGTGAACACTTGCTGCTGTTTTGGCACCTTTTTTGGGTTGATTGTTCAGACATCCCCAGCCAGTTGGGAGGGGAAGGAGCAGCTTGTGCAGGTCCACAGCATTGACATGTTCCCCAGCTCAGTCAGAGCTGACTGCCTGACTTGGTCTTTCTCACCAGCCTTCTGGGATGCTTTTTCTTTAGGATTTTGCACCTTTCTGTGCTAGTGTTTTCTGTCTTGGAGTCTTTGTGCTTTGAACCTGTTCCACTGATCCTACACCTGATTTTTGTGTTTGTTTTGTTGTTGGATTGTTTTAACCTTTTTGAAGAAAGAGAGAGTCTGGTTATTTTCATGATGTCTTCTTTTTTTTTGTGTAAAGTATTTCTTTGCTTTAAAATACTTTTTTTTTCTGATTTTGCTTTGGTTTGTCTTGGAAAAAAACCCTAACCTTTTATTAATATGAGTATATATGTAAAAATTTAGCCTGAACAGTCTTTCATAACTTTTTTCCGTTTTTCAAAAGCTAATTGTATTTACAATATGTCACCACTACTTAAGACTGAAATCAGTGTTTGAAAAACACAGCTAGACAGAATTAATTAAAGTCTGCTACTGTTGTACTTTGCACAGCTTGAGGAAATAACTGGAGCAGACAGACAATCTATAGTAATTGAGTTGTCATGCAAAACAAAATACCCTAAAAACTAGCTGTATTATACATTCTAGTGAATAAACATAAAACTTACAGAATAGATGACAGTTGCAAATGCAAGTAATTTGTAAATTAAAAAAATAAAGCATTATTTTATTTAGAAGAAAATACATTCAGATACACCTAACGTCCCTGAGAAAATTTGTATTTTGACTTCTTACACTAGAGGGGCAAAATACAGAGAAGTGAACAAATTTAGACTACGTCAAAAAGGGCATTTAAGATTCCCTTCAGCACAGAGTAAATGCAGAGCTGTATCTAATACAAAAAAATTATTTGTATTTATAATTAATCCAGTGCAGTGTATTTAAGACTATTTTTATGTAATTTCAGTTTAATATGCAAATCAAAACCTCGAGATAGAATTGCTCCTGTGTGGTATGAGAAGCCATATGCTTGGAATCAGGTATGGCTGTAAAAATTGTTGGTGGTTTGTGTTTGTTTTTTTTTTTTTTGTCCCTAAGAAGTGTTGTTATGATACGCTAGTACAGTTAGTTAAGTGATCAATGGGAGAATTTCCTTTGGAAAGATGTCTTTTTTTGTGTATTGAATTAAAAAATGCTGAAAGTCCTATAGAGTTGAACTTAAGATGTAAGAACTGTTGTGTACACACCAGTCTCTATCGATACCATACTTTTGTACAGTCTAGTGTGGATGTTTTGACTTTCAATTTTGTGTATATGAATATTTAGCCTTTTCAACAGCATACTTAATGATTTTTAAGTTGAGAGTGAGGCAACCTTTTTGTAAAGGCAACTTTACATTTGTTGGAGGTTAAAATTTTGTATTCTTTCTATTTAAGCAGCCATGTCTTAGAAGAGGATTGATACTTTTTCCTTGTTTAGGATTTATCTGAATGCAGTGCATCTCAATTTTGTTTTGACTTGCTGCACTTTAAGGTGGCTTTTCCCTTTTAAGCAGACAGAAATGTGGCTTGTTTTAGAATGAATGTAGTGGGATCAGATAGGAGGGCAGTTTCCTCAAAACCAAGGAGGGTTTCATAAAGCTGAAAAGACTACTAGCTTCCTACTCTGTTAAAAATCCAACATTTCTTTCTGTAAGGGCCTCCGCAGGCCACTAGGTTTCCTGATGAACAAGTGCATTTTCTTAATTAAAAGAGGTGAGGTATTGCTGAGTGCAGGAGTAAGAGTTGTACATGGACCCTCCCTGTCCCTCTCCCACCCTGAGGCGTGTAAATGAGAGGTTTAGATCTCTCTTCTTGAAAAGACAGCAGTGAACTAACACCAAGGGCATGTATTTCTAGGAGGCATTTACAGGGAGGTTAGTGTGTGTCATGATATACTACTGCCTTAAGCCAAAATGTTTCTATTTTCACGTTTCAAATTCAGTTATCTTGGTATTAGGAAGATAATCTCCTATTGGTGTTCAGCTTTTTGTAACAAGTTAATGTATAGGCCTTGGATCAGGATTTTCCCCTCTGCATCTGAAGTATCTCAAGACATCTTTCTTACATAATCATAAAATACTAATTGTAATGCTTTGGAATTGGTTGTGGAAGAGTATTTTGACTCAGGCAAACCACAAGAGATGGCATTTCATAGTACTGCCTCTTACACTGAAATGTGTGGCATGGAACTGAAATTCCTGTATGATTTAAACTCTCCAAGGGTTCTCAAAACTCTTCAAGACTCTTTTCCTTATCGAAGTTATATATGAAAACATTATTGAGAATGTGTTCTGACTTTGATCTTGCTTCTTTTGATTAGGTGGATTCTCTGCATATCATTGACCAGTCTGAAAAGCAGTGTGAAAGAGGAAATGGTCTCTATCAGCCACATAAGCTTGTTGTGTTGAATGTTTAAGTATTTCTAGAAGCCTTTCAGAGGACAAGGTATTACAACTAGTCTAAAAATTACTTCTGTTTTCTGTATAACCTTGGACACTTGTTTTCCAAGACTGTTCCTTAAGATTAGTGTAAGTGTACTAAAACATAGTTAGGAATATGTTAATCATTTTTGCAAAAAGTTGCAGTTTGCTGACCTAGAGCAGACAAGTTTATTCATAAAACAAACCTGACGTAAAGCAGGATGTGATTTTCATTTTAATAATGCTTCTGAAAAGGTTAATCACAGGGTACATGGAAGACAAAACAAATCTAGGTTTAGTTCATCTTCTGTCTTAAAGTTTGTAAGCCATTGGGCACAACTTCTTGTCTTTAATTACAAGTTCCATTTTCCTGTTTTGTCATTAGTTTTTCAAAAATTCATACAACAAAGGTGTTTGGTCTTTTTCTTAACCAGAAGCTAGAAGTCAAAGGAAACTGATGATATACATTATATTCTGATCCAAACTATAACTTCATATGCTGGATACAATTTTTTTCATTACTTTTTCATGCAGCAAAATGTAATATGATTTCTTTTCCTTTATGGAAGAAGAATGTTTTTGAATTACTGATTTATGGCACCTTTGTTTTATAGTTTCCTCCTATTTTTACCCATGAAATATTTGGTCCTTTAAATGAGGTCAGTGGTTTCAGAATAAAATGCAGAAGTTAAATGTTTGTCTCTTCTGTTGTGCAGTCATGCTTAATAAAAGCTAAATTTAGTTATTAATGGTATGTGATTGCATTCATGAAGTACATGAATACAAAAACAGTATATGGAAAAGTATTAATCTTTTCACTGTTCACTCAGTGATTTGAAGCTCGTGTCATGTCCTGTCATCCTCCAAGAACACAGAGAATCTCTGGTCTCCACAAAAAAGTGGCAGATTTGGGGAAAATGGATGCTTAAACTGAGAAATTATTTTAGGCTGTATTTAGAAATTATTTAGGCTGTTAGGAGTAACCATATAATAGGCAATTTCAGTGTCTTATTATAAGCATTACTTCTGTAGACCCATTTTACCAATCCTTGTGAATTATAAACAATACTTTATCCAGTGAGAGAGAGAGAGTTGTGTCTCAGGCGGCTTAGACAACAGGATTTCTCAGCTGCCTGTTGTACGCAGACGAAGGGTTGCAGTTAAACACCTTTGAGGTCAAACAAAGCAGGCAGAATGTCAAATCTTTGCTCTGCCTATTAATGATCAGAATTTTCTGCAGGAAAAGGTGACTTGGTAGTACAAAAAGGCATGATATAAATAACGTAACTTATGTGATTCCTTATAAGCAACACTGAAATTGCAGGCTGAGAGGAACAGAATGTGTGTTCCATGTTCTTTCCATATTCTGTTGGCTTGGGTTTTTTTAACGTCTGTGGGTAATGTGTCCTGGTCTGTTCATGTGCATGTGCTGCCATCTGGTGAGGGGTCACTGATGCGCTTCTGGCTCCCCTTCCAAGATCTACTGCATGTGGTTTCAGTAAAGAAAAAGTGCTCTGCCAGTGGCTCATAGTAAAACAGAAAGGTTTCTGCTCGTCTGTATGATGAGAGGAGTAGATAATGCAAAATCCTCCCAGTCCAATAACCTATAACCTGCCAGTGGTCAGCTGAGAAATGAAAACTGTGTATTAACTCTTCAGAGCTCCCAGTTTTGTCCTGGGTACGTAAAGCACTTGCAGACTTGATACATGACATTATTCTTGAAGGAAACGGAATATCTTACAAGTTACCTTTGCTGGGAAATGTTTCTGCCAGATGAAATTGTAGTACTAAAATGTAAAAAGCAGCAGTGGTATTTTACTGTTTAAGTTTCAACAGCATTGCAAAGTCATTTAAACAAGTTTAAGGTAAACGACTTCAGGATTTCTTCCTTCATGGTTAATAGTATGTAGCACTGGAGAAAGAAGCACTATAAAAGAGTAGGATCTTTGTATGGCTATGGACCTGCTCCCAGTCAACCTTGTGCCTTTCAGGGGTTACTTCCATAAGAAAAAGGCCATGACTTCTTGCCAGGATTCCTTTTATCTCCAGGTGCTCAGCAACCTAGTCTAATTAAGAGGTGTCCCTGCCCATGGCAAGGGGTTGCATTAAATCATCTCTAGGGTCCCTTTCAACCTAAGCAATTCTATGATGATTCTGTGAACATCTATCAGATTGAGATTTCACTTACCACTATTTATTAGTGATCATCCACATTTATGTATTTCTTACATCACTGAGTCTAAGGTAGAAATATTTGAATCTATAAATGGGCAGATCAGCCCTCCTGAATGCCTCCAATAGGAATGATCAAGTGACAAAATGTATTTATAGGTGCTTCTCAAGTCTGAAAACATGTGTTCACTGTTATTCATCATTTCCCCCACAGCTACAATGAAGTTGGGTAACAATTTTAAATCAAAAGGAATTATTTTTTTAATTGCATGTGATTCATTTTTTTAATTTATTGACACAGGCTGTACTAGAAACCAAATATATAAACAAATGTGGAAAGGAATTGGAACTCCAGAGAAGACAGACCCTTCAATAGCTGTTAAAATGGAGAAACTAAAACTCCCTACCCTACTGAATTCCAGAACCTGAGAAGATATCATGAAAGAATGCCTGTTTTCAGCATTTCCCAAGCATTTCCTTTTGGCAGATAAAGGGTGCAGGATATTGTTTGTTTATCCTTTTAAAGACACTGTAATAAGTTCAGACTTAATTTGGTCTGTGATTGAAACGTTTTGGAATCAGCGATAGTAGAATTGCATAGCGTGGATGATCAGTAATAGAATGAGATGTCATGTAAACATGTAAACACTGAAGAGCTGACCAGGATATGTAGTCTCTTTTTCTTGTCTTACTCTCTTCTACTCCCTCATAACTCTTCTTATATAGGATTCTACAACTGAAAGGAGGTGGAGGCACAGCTGGTCATAAAATTGAGTCATTTAGGTTGGGAAAGACACTTGAAGATTGAATCCAACTGTTAACCCAGCACTGTCAAGTCCACCACTAAACCATGTCCCTCAGATCCACATCTACATGTATTTTACATACTTCCACAGGTGGTGACTCCACCACTTCCCTGGGCAGCCTGGGCCAGACCCTGATAACCCTTTCTGTGAAGATGTTTTTCCTAATGTCCAATCTAAACCTCCCTTTGTGTTCTTTGCCTATCTAGATGTGTTCCTAGGCAGGAAGGGGGTTGAAGGAGATGACCTCCAGAGGTCCTTCAAACCTCAGCCTTTCTGTGATGATGCTTTTCCAAAAGCCTATGTAGACAAGGCTGAGGCCAGTTGTTAACCTTCATCTGAGAAGTGAGTGCCTATAATGAGGGAAAACAGATTTTAAAAATTAGCAGGGCTAATGCTTCCATTACTTAAATGCCAGTCAAGGACTGGGATAGTTGAGATGACCAGAAGATCTCAAGATGCACTTCTAAATATATTTTATGTAAATCTGTGTGAGCCTGCCCATAATGAACCAGGGAGTGTTGATCTCACATCTGCAATGACTTGAGACTGACTATGAGTACATTCTCCAGTTTGGGGTATACAGCTCACCCTATACTATCATAATGTCTGTTTCTAGTTTTAAAATTCTGATTTATTTAGCTGTTATTTATGAAGGTGACAGACTGTTCATACATGCTGAATGATCTTAGGCCTGCTTTAAAGAATCCATAGTGCAGTTGTCCATAACGTTGAAGTGGGTAAGCAGCCACAGAAGGAAGCCAGAAGAAAACGTGTTTTCTCTTTGCCTTTGCACGCTGCTGGCAGACTACTTTTAAGCAATATAATTTATGCATACGTATCAATATGGGGGCAATCTCATATCCCAGGGAGAGGATTTTTGGAGGTGGCATGGTTTTCATTGTGTGGTGGGTAGATGAAGGTGGGAGATAATTTTTTGAAAACAAAATTTTTTTAAGGCAGGGAGAGAATCCTAAATGGATTATAGTGCTTGAAAGCACTTGCTATGCAGTTATTTCAGTAGAATCATGCTGTTATGATGAACACCTTTACACACAGTGGAAGAGAAAAGCATATAATTATTAAAAATAAGTGACGAACCTGGACATCTTGGTCACTCAGGTTTGCCATGGGGAATCAGGGACTGAAGTTTTACTAGCCTTTAATAAACCCGCAGTTGTGGAATCGGGCAATTTCAAATGTGTTTGGACTTCCTTGTGGGAATTCAGCACTGGTCACAAAGCAAGGTTAGGAGTTTCACATTGCCTTTGCCTAGGAGTGTGTCAGTAGGGATGTGGGTGTGAATGAACCCTGCGGATCTCATGCCAAGACTGTGGACACTTGCCAAATGGCAACCCGTGCATTCTGTAGTGAATGCAGAAATTAGGGATGTCCGCTCAAAGTTATTTACTTCCAAAGAAAAAAAGACTGTCCATCCAAAAGGATGATAAGGAAAAACTCCCCACTGCTGGATAGCAGGGCACCTGGTGACAAAGGACACAGGAAAAGCTGACAGTGCCACAAGAGTCACTTTGCCTCACTCTTTATGGATAATATTTGCCTTCAGGAATCTCGGAGACCTGAGACATATGGGAAGGTGAGGGCCAAGCAAGACTTACTCTTACTGGAGAAGTGTCAGGTTAGGGAACATTTAAATAATCCAGACACTGATGAGACCTTGGACCTAGGACTCAAGGGCTGCACCCATGAGTCCTGAAGAAGCTGGCTGATGCCATTTGATGCCACTTGATAATCTTCAGAAGGTCTTGAAAATCATGGGAAGGTTCCTGAGGAGTGGAAGAAAGTAAACATCACTTCTGTCTTCAAGAAAGGCGAGGAGGGAACTTGAGGCAGTTTGGCCTCACCTTAGTCCCTCAAAAGGTGCTGGAGCAAATAAACCTGGAAGCCATTTCCAGACATACGAAGGTCAAAAAGGTAATTGGGAGCAGTCACCACAAGTTTGTCATGCTTTATCAACCTGATAGCCTTCTATGACTAGATGACTGTCTCAATGGTAAGGG